TAGCACGAAAAGTACAGTGCTAAACAATAACAAAGATAGTAATACAAGAATTATTCTAGAATAGATAATATTTCAAGAGTAAATGCTAGTAAAAATCAGGCAAGGGGTAGTGATGATCTTGGGCAAAAATCAAGTGTAGCAGTATTTAGTTTAATTGTTAATTAGTAAACAATATTAAGTTTAATAATAATAATCATATTAATCTTTTGAAGAGAATAAGTTATCTGTTCTTTTTCCGAAAAGCTATGAAAGAAAAAAATTTTTTAAAGTCTATATTTTAAAATTATTACTTCTTAATATAGTTTTTGAAAAAAAAAGTCAACTAGTCAGGTAATATTGTGAAGATGAAGTTTTTAAAAGAAAAAAAGATTTAAAGAAAAAATCTTTAAAGAGAAGTAAAAAATCTAACTTTGGCAAAAAAAAAGAGAAAAACTTAACTTTGGCAAAAGGAAAGGAAAAAGAAGAAGAAAAAGATATGAAATATAAAAAAGTGTATAGAAGAAAAAGGAAAAGGTAGAAAAAAGAAAACATAGAAATATAGAAAAGGAAAAATAGGAATAAGGGAAAGGCAAAGATGAAAAAAAAGTAAATAACTCAAAAATTTTCTAAAAAAATTTTTTTCAAGTGTAAAAGGGAAGTAGAAAAAAATTTTTTTTATTATTTATAATGCTTTTTAATATTAAATATTACAAGACTTAAACAATAAATAAATAAAAATATTTGAATTAACTTTTTTAAATATAATTCTTTTATTATATAAGTTAAACCAATAGATTATATATTTTAAAATTAATAATAAGCTTTTTATTTATTATTATTATTATTTTAATATTGTAAAGAAATCATTAATAATAATAGGTTTGTCAAAAATCAGATATAAATATACAATATAAGAGATAATTTGCAAAAGTATATAGATTATATAAATTCTTTTAATAAATTCTGATATTATATATGGATTAACAAAGATTATATTTTATTGCATTTTCTATTTTAAAATAAATAAATAAAAATTGTTATATATGTTTTTTTTTTATATATTTAAACATAAGAGTAAAAGGGTTTTCTATTTTTAAAAAATCATTTCTAACTTGTTTATGCGTTTTATAAAAAAATAAATAGCTTTTTTTTATTTATTATTTTTTTGAATTATAAGTAAAAATGTCGATTTAAAATTTCTAATTTCTTTTTTTATTATACAGTATATATTTTGTACATATTAATTATAAAAATCGGCTTTATTAGAAAATTATTTAAATACTATTACTAAAAATAATTAATATATTAACGTCGTTCCGGGTATACGGATTCGGAATTTACGGATCGAGGCGTTCACGTTATTGTACGGTGCATATCATCATTTTTACATTATATGGCTTAAAATACTCCCAACAAAATGCTGGCTTACATATTTGTGTATACTGTATTTATCTTACAGTGTATTGTGCATAATACAAGATCACGAGTATGAACCTATTTTTTTTTTCATATACTGTACATATTTTCCCTAAGACGGTTAGTAATGATTTGACTTCCCATCATGACATCCTAAAAATTTTCCGAATCGCAGTTGTGCAATCGTATTATTCTTAATCGTGAGTTCGTGATAAATCTCCGAATCGCAGTTGTGTAGTCATATCATTCTTCTTGATTGGTGAGTTCACATAGATATTCGAGGTGTGATGAATTGTACATCGTTCCATTTGTTCCGATTATGCTAACAGCTATGCTATTCTTCGCCCACCTTTTCGATGAAGGAAATAACTTCCCGAGCTTTTCTTATTGCTTCTCCAGTGACTAATGAACAACGAGGTAAAGTAACGTATTTCAGAGTTCTACGCCGTCGAGCAAATTTCACAATAACCTTCAGGCATTGATCATCCACAAAGGGAGAAGTCGTTAATTGGAATGTTGTCAAAGGTACCGAGCACAGTTTTAAAAATCGATCCAAATCATCGGAAGTAAATCTATTCATGGTCGAGATGGTCAAATGATGTAGAGAACTGGGTAAAAGAGATGGAACCCGTGATCTAAAGAATTCTTTGCATTCAGACTCGATAGAGACATAGAGTTTTTCTAATGCGCAAGAATTTAATATTAATTGAAAATAGAGCATCGATTGCTTTTCTATGTGGCATTCAAAAGTGTGAAGGTTAGGACATGCCTTTGAAATCGTTTCTATAACATTCAAAGGGATGTCGGGGACTTCGGAAATCACCATGTTTTTAATATTACGTCTTCTAAATCTAATCTCTCGCAAAGAACCTCGTGTATTTTTGATCATCTGAGCCAAGCTATCAAAGGATTGTTGATGTCTATTTTTAAGTGTAAATGTTCTCAATTTCGTAAATGCCACCGAGGCCAAAGGTAAAAAGGTTTCATTTTTTAAATTCTCGCAATCTCGAAAGGTGAGTATTTCTAGATTTAAGCAACTAGCAAGCGCCTCCAAAGGTCCAGAGTCCCTAAAATAAACACGATGGAATTCGACTCGACTCAAAGAATTCTTCTGCGTTTCCAGAGGTTTCATGAAATCCGATAAGTATTTGAATTTTCCTCCACGAATTATAAGATTATGCAAGCTTTTCTGGGAACAGATCAAACCGGACATTTTTTTAAGCTCAAGTCTACTATCCGAATTAAACATATCAAATTCGTAGAAATTGAGTTCAAGGGTGTCAAGATTTTTGCAATGCATCGATATAGCATGCATCAATTCACCTTTCTCGTATTTTCCACCACAATCAAGCTTCCTTAAACGTGCAAACAAATTTTTTGCAGTTGGCATCATTGGAAGTTTCATATAAACATCGGTGCCATAGAAGTTAACGTCGGCTGTATCATAGGATAAGGTGTCGATGCAAGGACAATTCCTAATCAGAAATTTGCACAATTCTTCAACCAATAATAAACAACGTTTCTCCTCGGTCCAAGTCTTCCTTTTTCGGTTTTCGACGTCTCCAAAAATAAAAGAACAGGCAGATTCATACAAACGCCTATAGCAAAGGTTACGCACGAATGGAGAATAAACGAAGGTATGGGGTGATTTTCTCGATGAAGAAGGTATGGGAAAGATGCCGTTGTCGGCAAGAATTGTTTTTGAACGACCATCAAGAAATGAAATAAAAGTTTCAATCAATTTTCTCGAAGGCTTTCTTGGTTGACAAAAGGGTGACCTCCAAAGTATGGCGGCCGCCTTTTCAAACCAAACTCGATTTACTAACAAACATCTAAAAAGAGTATCGGTGTCATCTTCGAAGTATGAAAACATTTCTTTTAAACATTCTGTTGTTGTGAAGGATAATTTAGGTGAAGGAGAAATGTTTGAAGTAATAATGTTTGAAATAATGTTTGAAGTAAGGTGGTGGTTGTAATGGGTGATTAATGATTGCATGTTTTCGGATGGAATATTGAGAGTAGCGATTGTAATGTAGGAGAAAATGAAAGTTTTTGTCCACTAATGTTATTCCAGACCCCAGAACTGTAACATTACTACAATTAGGATCCTATTGTATCCTTATTATACAAAAAATCCATCGCACGAAGATCGAGTAAAGAACTAATAGTTCCTGATCGATAAAAATTATCATGTAATCATCAATAGGAAATTCAAATTGTTTGCATGACTGTACTATACAAGCAATTTTTCTACCGATCTGAACAATTTGTTAGTTTTCTCGATCTTCAGGTACGAGAATTCGTGTAACATGTGGCATGACCGCATATATAATACTGATAGTGAAATTCCTTCTACGTATAACCTAATTTTTTGTCCGTTAACTGAAGCATAACATTGTTTCAATCATTCTACGGATCTTTGTCTAACCATGGATTATCTCTGTTGCATTGTATTACCTGCTTATTGATGTGGAGACGATTTATGGAACGATTATTCATTGAAATATTACGTATCTAACGTATTTGCGCATTACCATTTTAGGTTGAACGGTATGTAAACAATACAATATTACATACAATATTATTAATCAAATATTTTTGTGATTATTTTATTACACCATTGTTGATGATTCAATATTCTTTATAAAGTCCTGTTTTCGTATGTTCGAGAAAGATAATGTCAATAACAAAGTATCGTGAAGCACAAGAGGTCAGAGAAAGGATAAATAGAAAGAAAAGGATCCATGAATGATCGTATCAAGGAGATACTGAGAGGATGGTTACCAAGAAGGATCGGCTCTGCAGATTTGCGAATGAGCTTGTCAGATGGATTCTTGGCTAGAACAGTACAAAGATCGTGGTACTCGGTTCAGACGTCAACGTTGATGATACGGAATTCGGTGAACTTGTCGAGAACCTATTATAAAATTGTTATTATCTTCACGTCAAGACACAATGGACACAAATTAATTGGAAACAGAAATGACCAAGATATTTAAAACACGAAAAATGAGGATTTATGAAGAAAGAGAAAGGCCAAGTATGTGGATGGGAGCTGTAAAATGGACGTACTACGAGGTTCTTAGATGGTACAGGACGATGGAGTCACCAACATGATCTTTATATGAGAGCAATACCTAAACAATGAATGCTTTATAACTGGAAAGTTCTTTCGGGTAAAAAAGACCTCTAGGGAAGTGCGTTCGTACGCGGTTCGACAATTGATGGCCACATACAAGGCAAACAAGAAGTTGCTTGGAAATAATTTTTAAATGAAGTGCCGATTAAAGAAGGTCGAACACAAATCAACTCGATTCTTGCTAGGGATTGGAATAAGAACGGCGAGAAATACGCATTCTAAAAAATGTTATCACCTCTGAATGATCGCCAGGTATCAACAATACGGTAAAATACTGTAACTATGAATCATCTGGGACATTTTACTCGTGTGATTCATATCTTTGAATATCATCAATGACTCGGGAAAAAGTAATCTCGCTCGATCCAGGTGTTCGCACGTTTATGACCAGTTATGACCCATATTTAATTTATCCAAGAAATAAGAAATTACAGAGCGACAAAGATCTTGCTTTGGGAAGAACATGATTTAATCGATAAGTGCCATTATCATATGGCACAGTGGTTAGGTTAGAATTACGGTTGATTTTTTTTTTGCGCAGGTCCAAGTCTTCAAGGATAGTTTTAAGAACAAGTGAAGGATTCAGCGCTCGTGCAATGCTAACTTGGTCACATTTCAGGCTTTGGATGTTCTTACATTATAAGTCGAGGAAATCCAGAGGTTGCTGGGTTATTGAATGCATCGAAAAGTATATATCAAAGACACATAGGAATTGTGGATTCATAAAAAAAATGATCACGATGAATCAAAACCGGTTAAATGTAATTCGTGCGAGGTGGAAATGCATCGGAACGCGAATAGTGCTAAAGTATCTTGCTCAAATATTTAACTGTGGGTCAGGTTTTAGCCTGACTTTGGGACTTGACCTATATGTGATACGTAAAGACCAACTTTATTTATTCATATTTCAAAGGGGTGATGTTACCTATGGTAGTGCTGTTTAAAATCAAGATTATTCGAATTGATTGTTTTTCAAATAAATATTTATATAGCTTCTTTGACAATCAATTGTAGTAACTATACATGCGTAAGGATTGAATTCTGTCATTGGTTTCTGTCCGTATAAGAATACCTTCAAAGGACAATAACTAATTGATCCCCAAGTTGATCGAAATACAGCAAACAAAAAATTTTGTATTATAAATGTCATATACAGTACTGGCAAAAAATTTTACAAATTTTTTTTATAATATTAAAATTAGTTTAAAATAAAATAAAATAATTTTTGATATTTTATTTAAAATTTTTATTTTTGGGAATAAAACAAAATTATTTTTTAATATTATACAAAAATATTATGAAAGAATCATTGTTTTATCATTTTCATAAACATATTATTATTAGATATTAATTATAAATTTATTTAAAAATATTGACTTGATTCATAATTATAAAATTATAAAATTGATATTTCATTAGCTTATTATAATTTTGAGATTTTAATTTGATAAGATCGATTATTATTTTATATAAAATATATTTGTTTTTTTTTTTATTATATATTATAATCAAAAAGTTTATTTAAAGGTTTTAAATAAATTTATATTTTATATTTCACAATAAATATATCATTATAAAATATATTTAAAAATATAAAATAAATAATTATTATTTCAATATATAATCTCAAAAATAAAAAATATATATTTAAAAAAATCCATTCTAGTTTATCACATAATTTTATAAAGATAAAAAATCTATTTATAATATTTTTTTAAATCAATAATACAAATTTAAATAAAAAATTTAAAAAAATTAAAAAATATTTGTT